AGGCGGAAGGAGGAGGAGGTAGAGGAGGGAGGAGGAGGAGGGAGGGGAGGAAGGAAGAGGAGGGGAGGAGGAAGGAGGGAGGGAGTGGCAAGGAGGAGGAGGAGGAGGCGGCACCCACACGCGCACGCGAGCCTGACCAACGAGAGCGCGCTATGAGAGAGGAAGTGAGCTGCTCACCCCCCTCACAGGAGGAGGAGGGCGGCGCCCGGCGCCCTGCGGAGGCACCCACAACCCGCCAATTAGCGCGCCCCCAGGCGGAGGGGGAGGAGGAAGGAGGAGGAGGGGGAGGATGGAGGAGGAGGACCGAGGAGGAGGAGGGAGGAGGAGGAGAGCGGAGGAGGAGGAGGAGGGGGAGGAGGAGGAGGAGGAGGAGGAGGAGGGAGGGGAGGAGGAGGAGGGGAGGAGGAGGAGGGAGGGAGGAGGAGGAAGGAAGAGGAGGAGGAGGAGGAGGAGGAGGAGGCGGAGGCGGAGGAGGAAGGAGGAGGAGGAGGAGGAGGGAGGAGGGAGGAGGAGGAGGAGGAGGAGGAGGAGGAGGAGGCTGAAGGGCGGTGGCGGGGGGGAGGGCGGCTCCTCGGCTTCACCCCTCTCCGCCCACACCTCGCCGACGTCGTCGTGGTCCCGCCTAACCACCCGTGAACCTGGCCAGTCCAGCGCGCAGCCTCGCAGCAGCATGTTGAGGCCTCGCCAAAGATGCAGATGCTCGGCCTCAACGCCGTGCAGACTCTCACCCTTCTTGGCGAGCTCGTCTGCAGCAGCATGGCCCTGCTTCTCCCACAGAGTTCTTTCTCCACTGTGCACGTCAGTCATGCTACGGTGGGCCTTCTCTTTGTGGGCCACGAAATCGTTACACGAGAAGGCGGCCCAGAAAGGGCCCCACATGTGGGCCCTGGCGCAGTCGGTCCCAGATAATACCGCCCCAGGGCCCTTGCACAAAGCCTGGGCCGTACCTTTGAATTCGCATTGAGCATCAAACGGGGGCAAGGCAACCGGAGTCAACATGTGCACTGCAAAATCCTCCCCGCCCCTCGCCGTCAGGCGCGGAGCGGCGTCGAGGGGGACGGGCCCGGGGCCCGCAGGCAGCGGCCAGGACCTGCCCCGCGGGGCCGCACGTCGCAACGGCCCAGCCAGCCCTCGCCAGCTCTGGCACGTCAGCCCAGCGACATGGCCCGTCCGTGAAGAGGATCCCCGTCATTTGCCCACTGGCAGGGCGGCGGCGCCAGTGGACCGTTTGCCCGGGGGCCCGACACCGAAACAGAGCCGAAGGATTTGGGAGAATCCCTCGCGCGAAAAGCTCCCCAGACCCCAGACTCGAACCCCCCAAGTCGGAAGCTGGAACATATACATTACCAGTGGTGGGTTGTTGTTTCAATCCCACGCTTTTTGAGCGTCTATACTTTGTCCAAGGGAAGCAACGAAAAATGTATAACCAGAATCCTGTATACACCAGGATCCGCGTTCCTGTGCGAGTTTCAGCGCAGGGTCGGAAAAAGCGTCGGTGTATAGGCTCGTTTCCCTACCAAGGCCCTTGGCTCGACGGGCGCGCCTGCTCAATCCTGCCGAGACCAAGTCCCGGCGCTTACTCGACAGGGCATCACACTCATCACATCCGTGCCAGATCGAGCCATCTGGGTGACCGCGCAGGGCACGGGCAGGGCTGCCAGCCACATAACGTTTGCGCAGCAGGGCCTGGGGCCACCGGGCACCAGAGGCAACCGAGCGGAGGGCACGCCCGGTGCCTCTCGGTCCAGACCGAGGTCTTCCTGGGAAAACAGGCGGCCACACGCGGCCAAAAAAGCAGTGAGCACCCAGGGGGAAGAGACATCGCCTCCAGCGCTCTCCTGCCAGGAACGCGGCCCACTGCCGCCTCCACCTCCTGCCTGACGCAGGCTGGCCCCAGCCGGAGCGTGTCGACCTCGCGCCCCGAGTCTGAGAGCACCACCTGCGCGGACAGCGGCGTCCAGCTCATCCCCTGGAGCGCGAGGACGAACACGCCTGCTGGGGAAGCGACTCCGACCCGAGGCTTCGAGGAGGCCTCACATCGAGCCTCGGCCGCGCCCAGCGCCTGGAACAGGACGTTGGGCTTGGGGCCCCCATCCCCAGATCGCCGAGGCCAACTGGCGCACCACCAGGCCCACGAAAATCACCCACGGGCCCACTCCGACGCCATCCTTGAACGAGTACCGTGCGGAGCCCTACCGAGGCCCCCCATCGGGAGCCCCCTCAAGACTCTCCTGCGAGTCTGGGCCCTCAAGAAGTGGTGGAGTTCCGTCGGCGGGGCCCCAGGTGACACATGCGCCCCATAACGACGACGCAGTGTGCCCACTCCTGTGAGTCCGCTTCGCCTCGGCCCCAGCGCCTCGAAGCCGCGAGATCACCCGTCGAGCTCTCGCGATGCTCGCCCTCCTGCACTTGGCCCCCCAGGTTCGCGTCGGTCCCGAGGTTCCTGGCCGCGCCGACCTTGCAGGAGAAGGAGGGAGGAGGGAGGAGGAGGAGGAGGGGA